CACTAAAAGGTGTATTTATATGGATTTTTTTCCTCTTGATTGGATCCTTGTTTAATAGAGGTGAATAACAAATCTCTTGTATTTGTGGGCCACTTCGTCTTAAATGCACTCTCTCAAAAACTAAAGCCACAGTCCTCCCTCCCAAAGCAGTCCTAACATCCTCAATCCTCCACACACAGAGTTGTTGTATTTCTTCTCTCCCCTGGTGATTCTCCATTCACTCAGCAGCCATTTTTCTCTAAATTTTGCCTCTTCAGCTTTTAATCCATCCACCATGTTTTTTCCATTTCGGATGCCGCCTTCCCATTGCCTGCCCTGGTTCCCTCTCACCTCTACCCTTTCTGTAGTTTCCTACCTGAATTTTCTCTCTCTGGTTACCCTACCATTCCTCTAAGCCAGTACTTTGGTCAGGTTCGGTTGGCACAGGTCACAGACTGGTGAACCACCAGTCAAATAGAGTCCACAGGCGTGTTTGGTTTGGCCATCATGCTGCTGAAACATAGGGTAGTTTAGAAATATTTAGTTACTAAAATTTCTAAATCAAGAGAGTACATGCAAAAACCCAGGTGACCAGCCTTGGCTGGAACCAAAGGGCTACTGCCCCCTTCAGCGTACACGCACAGCCCAGGCTGGCTGGTCCCTCTGCAGACTGCTTCATTTGCATCTGTCCCTTTCTTGAACCAAAGAGGCATTTCGGTTGTGACCCTGTCACCCTTTCAGACATGGTCCTCCCTTTTTCATATACTTTTCATGGTCCCTCGCTGCCTCCTCAATTAAGTGTAAGTTCCTCACCCAGCACTCCAGTCAGTGTCCAGCCATGGATTCTCATACTGAACATGTGTTAGAAACACTTGGAAGATTAAAGACTGATTCCTGTCTTAATCCACCTCCTCCAGTCAATTCTAATTTGGTAGTTCAGACGAGACACTCAGAAATCTGTATTTTAACAAGAAACATCCCAGGTAATTCTGATGTAGAAAGTCTAAGGCACATATTTTCATAAACACAGTTTCAGTATGTTCCAGCATCCCTTGCTGGCCTTTCTTTAGTTTCAGTTCTAGAATTCCTAAAGAAGGAAATCGATTGACCCAAATTGCATCGGATACATGCAAAAACTACATGGGACTAGGGCAAGGAAGCAATTCCCAGCACAGAGGCACTGGCACACAACCGCACTCTCCTCAGGATTCTCTTGTCCCCATTACAGGTGTCTGGTTTATCCTCCCACACTGGTAACTCCAGAAGGCAAGGGCTGTTTCTCAATCAGCTGCCTATCCCCAGAACTAACCAGTACTGGACTTTAGACAGAGTAGATGTACAAATACCTATTTCTTTTAAACTCTTAACAAGGTTTCAACAAATTATATGTGTACATAGTTAAAAATACAAACAATACGAAAAGATATACAGTGAAAACTGAGGCTTCCTCACACTCCTGATTTGAGGACCCTGTCGCTTTTAAAGAAAACTGTTCGTTTTATGTTTTAATGAAGATATGGGTCTGTCTGTGGGGGGAAAAAAGGCCCATTTGTAACTCTTTATCCACAAATAGACGTTTCCTATGCATGTTTTTTCTTGTTTTACAGTAATAGGTTGATCATTCCATGTCAGTTATCCCGAAATTATGTTGAGTAGTTAAATGTTTACTCATAAAAACCCTGGATTAAGTAGGGAAATATTTCTGTTTTTATCTTAAAATTAAGACTGTTGGGGAATGAATTGATTAAAGAACTTTTGCTCAAGGGGTAGAACTAGAAAGCAAGTCTTCTAACTCCCACCCCGATGTGTTCCGCTCTAAGCTATATAGTTACTTGAAATCACTGTTTGTCTGTGTGGAATCCGGGAACAGTGTCCTGCCTTGTTTACCGCTTATTTTTTATAAAAAGAGAATTTAAGTATAGGAGAGGAAAAAAAAGTGGCGTAGGTGATAGAGGCTTCTTTCATTCCTCTTACGACCAAATAAGTTGTGACAGAAACACAGAGCAAACAGCAAGAAAAATCACCTAGGATCTAGACGAACAGAAGCATTACAACAAGGGAGAGAAATAATCAACTTGCAACAGTAGAAGGTAGGAGGGGAAGAAGATGCAAGGCTGCCCGGTCCACAGTGGCTGAGACAGAGTTACGTCAGCAACAGTCGGCAACTGCAACACCTCTTAAAGGTGCCCTGTCCGCGAGCGGATTTTTGCGGTGACGGATCTGCTCGCTCTGAACACCAGCACTGGGTAGGCTGCACAGGGGTCACCAGGGACTTACTGGAAGACACTGAATTGTCAGAGTGAGGGCCGGAGGCGAGGCTCTCCTCTAGGCAGAAGTGAGCAGTATCCATTGTTCCTCTGTTGTGCCCTCCCCTCAGTGTGCCAGCTCAGCGCCACCATAACGAGAGGACATCAACTGGATAACAGAGGATAACATGCTCTGCCCAGAGGATTCCCTGAAACTCCACCTCCCTCAGCTCGGAGTGCCACGCAAGCCACTTCCAAGTGTATCCTCAGTGAGTCAGGTGCTCCATGATGAGCAGGGCCTAGACTTAACGCTGGTGGCAGCTGGCCTCGGTTTCTGGCATAATTTCTTGAAGTTTATAGTTATAAGTACAGCATCTGTAGATTGCTTGCTGAATCTCAACAGGTGGCCCCGGCGGGGTACAGGCTGGGGTTGAACTTGGCCTGCAGCTGAACCCCTCTCAGGACTGTGCCTCTGGACAACTACTACATAAAGCCGCACTAATAAGACCGGGAGATTTAGGAACTTTGCATGGAAACAGACACAGAAGGCAGCCAAAATAGGAAGACAAAGAAGCAGAAACCATATGAGAGAACAGAACAGAGACCCAGGAATAATGAAATCAAGTAATCTAACAGATGCAGAGTTCAAAACACTGGTTATAAAGATGCTCAATGAACTCAACGGAAGTGTAGGTGAATTCAGTGAGAACTTTAACAAACAGATAAAAAAAAAAACCATAAAAATGGAAATGGAAATTATAAAAGGGAACCAGTCAGAAATGAAGAACACATTATCGGAGATGAAGAGTATATTAAAGGGAATCAACAGAATGGATAAAGAAGAGGACTGAACCACCAATATAGAGGATGGAGAAGCCAAGGACACTCAATCAGAATGGCAAGAAAAAGAAGCCAAGACTATAATAATAATTTAAGTGCTCTCTGGGACACTATTAAATTTAAAAATATCCGTGTCATAGGGATACCTGAAGGAAAACAAGATGTTGAAAAGCTATTTGAAGAAATAATGATGGAAAACTTCCCTCACTTGGTAAAGGAAATAAACATACAACCCCAGGAAGCTCAGAGAGTCCCAAGAAAGAAGAACCCAAAAAGGCCAACACCAAGATACCTCATAATTAAAATGCCAGAGGTTAAATACAAAGAACTTTAAAAGCAGCAAGAGAAAAGCAGGTAATTACCTACAAGGGAGCACCCAGAAGACTGGCTGCTGGTTTCTCAAAAGAAACTATGCAGGACAGAAGGGTTTGGCACAAAATATTCAACATGATGAAAACCCAGGATCTACAGCCAAGAATACTTTATCCAGCAAAGCTATCATTTAGAGTCGAAGGACAGATAAAGAGCTTCCCAGACAAAAATAAGCCAAAGGAATTTATCAATACCAAGCTAGTATTACAGGAAATGTTGGAGAGACTTTCTTAAGAGAAAAAAATATGTATCAAAAACAAGAATAAAGAATGGTAATACATTCCCTTCAACAAGTACCTCAAATGGAAAAGAATTAAGGGCTCCAACCAAAAGATGGAGTTGCTGAATGGATAAGAAAACAAGACCTCTATATGTGCTGCCTACAAGAGACTCACGTCAAATTAATAAACACACACAGACTAAAAGGAAGCGGGTAGAAAAAGATATTGCCTTGATGAACCTAGATAGAGGTTATTGCACCGAATGAAATGAGTCAGAGAAGGACAAATATTGCATGATTTCACGTACATGTGGAATCTAAAGAACAACAACAACGGCAACAACAAAAGCAGAAATAAATTCATAGATACAGAGAATATTTTGAGGCTACTAGATGGAAGCGGGGTTTGGGGGACAGCAAATAAAAACAAAGCGATTAAGAGGTATAAATGGGTAGTTGCAGAATAGACAGGGGGATGTAGAGTGTGGCATGGGGAAGACTGTTAATAATGTTGTAGTACATATGTAAGGGGGAAGAGGGGTACTAGATTAGTGGGGTGATCACTTTATGAGTTATGTGGATCTCTGATCACTATGCTGTACAACTGAAACAGGTATATTATTGTATGCCAGCTATAATTGAAAAAAAAAAAACTAATTGAATTATGCAATGAAAATAAAAGCAACTAATTGTCTATTATATTTCAATAAAGCAGGGGGTAGGTAGTGAGGAGAAGATATCTGAGAAGTCCTGCTCAGAGCCGGGCTAGAGAGTCCCCTGGGGAGTTTGGACTTTAATTGCACCACAGCGTACCATAAGAATTCCCTGATGTGAATACACTGTTGCTTCCAAATGCAAAAGTGAGTCAGGAAGACTTCTCACTAACACGTTTATTTAAAATGCTGCAGAGCTGCTTTCAAAGTTCAAGTTTTATTCAATTGCATAATGTCACCTGCTATGAACTGCTTACCTCCTATCAAGCAAGACATGGGTCCAACTCAGAGGTCTGCTCAGATATTCAAGATTTACCATGAGACACCTCCTTCATTTCTCATCTTCTTATTTATCAGTGGAAAGTTGTAGAAATAAGACAAAAGAAGTTCAGGATTTTATACTCTCTCAAAAGGTGAATGCTAGCTTTCACAATAGCTTCACAAAGCTCATTTTATTTGCTAAGAATATCATTTTCGTATTATTTAGGCCCCACCTTCCTCCTCCTTTAAAAAAATGAGTGATTTCTTAAAGTGAATGTGTATGATAATTGTTAAAGGGGGCAAATGCTCATCAGAATAAATGAGGTCCAGCTTTGAGAGTAAACATTAAACGTTCTTGTTCCTTTTCAGGGACACGTGGCCATCAGGAACCATGAGCAACCCATTTGTACACCTCGCTGAGCCTTTGGATCCTGCACAACCAGGAAAGAAATTTTTCAATTTGAATAAATTGGATGATTCAAGATATGGTAGGTCCCTGGCTCTATGAAAGAATTAACTAGTATTTTATTTTCGCCTAGTTTGTGGGTTTCTAGTACTAAATGTGTCCTAAACTCATGCAATATCTTCATATTT